AATAATTATTGCATAATTTAATTTAATTTTAAACAACCCAAATTTACAGTACCTGTATTCTAGACAAAAAATTCTTGGCAATTATAAGTTTTGCTGCCAAAGGGTAGAATGCTAGCTTCCTTACTGCATATACTATGCAATTGTTTATGAACTTTTTCACGATTTCTTGTTTAATATATCCCCATCTTTCACGAACTGAGTTCTACATTTGTTTTAGACCACCATGCTGAGTTATTTACTATAAACTTGACATAAAACATCATAAAATCTTTCAACTATTAATACAGGGTTGTTCGTGGCCTTAACAATTATTCTGTAATCCCCCGACAAAATTTCTTCAAGCATGAATTTGCGTTTAGCCCAAGACTGTAAGTTTTTATTATAAAGTAAATTATTCTGTAGATTTAATAGAATAGTCCTTATCTTATTCAATAGCTTATTGTTTATTAAGGCCTTTTGCTATTTTGCTTTTGGAAGGTTGGCTATATATCTTTCTATGATCTGGTCAAGAGTATTTCTGCTTATGGATGTATACTTTATTTTAAAAACAAGATCAGAGTTATGAAGTAAAGAAGCAGCACCAAAGAATAAAGCCAACTCTTAAGGAAAAAAAAACAGGACCAGAGTTATAAAGCAGCACCAAAGAACAAACCAACATTAAGAAAGGTAGAAACAAGATCAAAATTATAAGTAAAATTAGGCATGCCAAAAAAAAGCAAACACTTAAAGAGGCAAAGACAAAACCAAATAAGGCAGCACTAAAGAATAAAGCCAATGCTTAAGGGAGGTTAAAACAAGATCAAAGTTAATTAGACGCACCAAAGAAAAAATCAAATGCTTAAGTGGCAAGACCAAACCAAATTATAAAACAGCACCAAAGAATAAGCCAATGCCAAGAAAAGTAAGAACAAGATCAAAGTTAATAAGGCACACCAAAGAAAAAAGCAAACGCTTAAGAGGCAAGACAAAACCAAATTATAAAACAGCACCAAAGAATAAGCCAATACTTAATGAAGGTAAGAAAAGATCAAAG